GGGGGGGGGGGGGGGGGGGGGGGGGGGGGGGGGGGCAAGAAACTATACTTCATTAGCATATATCCTAATAAAATGAAAAATTTTGATTTTAAAACATTTTATTTCCGCTTCAACATCAATCTTAGGTTATAAAGAGAACAGAGAGAAGTATAGAGAGAGAGAGAGAGGATAGGAGACATGTAGTAAAAGTATTTTTGAAATGAAAATATCTGACTTATTTCTAAGTTTTCAATCAAATTGCCTGAAGGAGAGAAGGGCGGAGGGGGGTTTATGGAGAAGATAGACAGACTGTCAGAAAAATAAAATATTTTATAGTAAGAAAGATGTTTAAATGAAAGAAATTAGAAAAATATTTCATTTGATTGACAGACTGACGTAACGCAAAGTTCAGATGAACAGGAAGAAAAGCAGAAGCAAGAGCAGTAGCAGAAGATGGAGAAGCGGAAGCTTAACATTTCCTGAATGATAGCAAATATGCAAATTAATATGAACGCTATGTACACGTAAAATGATAATTTGAATTTCATTTGATACATTACAGACTCGTTCAATGATCGGACAAACATCTCATTAACAATTAAAATGTCGATTTATATAACTTTTTGTTCAAATTAGTAAACCTTTTTTTGTAAAAAAAGGAATGTATGGGAGATAGTGAGTAAACGAGAAAGGTTAGATAGAGGGAGAGAGAGAGAGAGAGAGTGAGAGTGAGATTGAAGGGAGGGAAGACGAATGAATGAAATGCGAGTATAGGTGGCTAAAAAAGAAATAAAGATTTATGTTGGATTAAGCATTTTGGGAGAAATGTAGACGAGTGACATGGAGAGAAACAGAATGAACATATAAGTCAAATGAGTATGAGAGACATAGAGAAAGAGAGAGAATGACAGATATAGAAGAGAGAGAGAGAGAGGGTGAACACAGATAAGAAGGGACTAGGAGCTCTATGAAAAATGACAAAATTTTCTTCGTGTAGAACATCAAATATGTGAAATCCGCGTGAAGCTTCTTCCTCATATTGTCATTTAAGACTCTTGCTACTTCCGTAATAAGCTGCAGCTTCTTATCCAAACACAGATGATTCTTAAAGAATCAAATCTGCCACTTATCGTCTTTGAAACGTCAAAACGAATCATTGATGAGCAGTTACGAGAGAAATCAGTTTCCATAGAGCAACGAGCTCTCCCAACCCCCCAACAAAAGCAGAAAACCGTATCAAAAATAATATTTTTCAAAGCAAATTTCATGAATTTTTATTGAAATTGAGACTTTTACATCTCAACTGTCCATTTTCTCTTTCAATAAACCAAAAAGAGTTTTCTTTCCTTTCTGTTGTTGTTCGAACAAACAGCAAAAGAAATTTTGTTTTTTTTTCCTTTTTCTGCTTTCCCATCATCATCATATACCGGCAGAACGATATGACCAACAGGGAAAGACTATGAGATCAATGGGATAATGAAAAATGGTTTTGAAATTGAGCTTAAGAGAATAAGAAAAGGTTATTAAACCTGAAGTTGTAGTTAAGAAGAGAAAGAGATTGAGAGGGAGAGAGAGAGAGAGACCAGGAGAGAGAAGGGGAGAAAGCACAAAGAGGGAAAAAAGAAAAAATGAAATTCATTTGCTAGGAAAGAGACGTATAATACTTTCTCTCTTTCTCTCTCATTCTCTCTCTCTCTTCATCTCTCCTTCTTTCTCTCGTAGTCCATATCTTTCAATTTTAACCCAAAAAGCCGAGCAAAGAGAAATGTGTTCTGCATACACACACTACTTGTGCTAGCAGTCTCTCTTCTAATATGACTAATTGAAGTAAAGTTTCTGTAAAAAGCTTGAAAGCCTTTGAAACTCGGAAATGAAACATCAGCAAGATGTTGTCATGCAATTGGAGGAAAAGCAATAATGATATCATAAAGCAGATGGACAATAATCTGTTTCTTCGCATTCTTATTCTGATGAGAATGTGAGATGAATAAGTTGGATATCAGTCCTATCCTTATATCAGCTTGGCAACGGTTTATCGCATTCGTATGCTCATTGTTGTTCCTCATTTGCAATATGCTCTCTCTACCAATCTGTTTTTATGTTTCTCTCCCTCTTTCTCTCTGTCTCTCTCAAGCAATTTTCATTTTCTTCCCCTCTCTCTTACTTTGTATTACTTCGTCTCTCTTTCAGCTTATAATATCATCTGTCTCTTGCTAGTCTCGTCATGTTTTGTTGCCATTCTCTTCATTCCTCTGTGGCTCTGTGCTCTCTCTCACTCTCACTATCTCACTCACATCAGCAGTCATATGGCTTATACCTTTTTCTCTTATTTTCCGTTTTAATCCCGTTTTTCTTCAGTATTCCGCAATTTCTTTCAGTTTCTGAATAGTTATGCTGCTAGAGACTTACATGTGAATTCGCACACACACCTGGGCCTTCACTTTCGTCTTTTGCGAACAAGAGACAGAAATAATAATTGAGATTTCTTTTCATAAAATTGAGGATATTCGTTAGTTTCCATGGTAATTTGAGTAACTTCAAATAAAATAAATTTATTTCTAATACATTCTTCTCATACTTCTAGTTCACTCCTCACGTTCAGCTTTTTTTCCTGCAAAATGTCTTCGAACCAATTGAACGTCATTCCAATGATGCTCTTCAATCTCTTGCCGTCTTTCCAAGCATTTCATTTCTTCACATACACACACATACACATACATACACACAGGCATTTCACTCTGTTACCTATTTCTTTCATCTTAATATACCAATGGAGGTAATTGTTATCAACGTCTACAATTTATTCAAGTCATATATTATCTTGAAAGGTTTTTGAAACTATTTTCATCCGTTCTCTACAAATTTCAAAACAGAAAACGGGGGCACTTGTTGTAGGTTTCTGACAATTTCAGAAAATTGTTTTATTTCTTGGTGAATGTCAAAAATGATTGAAAATGTTTTATATTTGAAATTAAGACAGAAGAGAACACGGGGGGGGGGACGAACCAATCGAGTCTGGTTTGTAGGAGGTGAAGGTAGAAGAAGGATTATTAGAAAAAAAAACAATTTCATTATAACGTTGAAGAGCATCTATACCTTAGCTCATATCACATATACCACTCTAAATACAAAAATAACACAGCAAAAGCTAGAACTTGAGATTTATGGCAAGTTTGTTGCATCAACATCAGCGAAATAACAATCACGTTCAATTCCCATATTGTATTGATCACCTGTTCCATTCAAAAATTTGGATGTGACTACACGGAACCATCCTAATTCACCCTATAATAGTATTATTATGTTTATAATATTATATATATTGTTATTACCCAGCCTTCTCCCCAACTGTTTCGGACAATCCAATATTCAGTTCCCTTCTCATCAACACCCCAACCAGTAACAGACACGATATGGTTTGACTGCAACATTGCATGTTCATAACCGATGCTCTTTAACAACAACTCTAACCTCTAGATCACTCTTTTCGGAGTAAACACCGCTAGTGTAGTTGTATTCGAAAGGCTTTGTAGCTCCAATGCCACAAGGGATTGGACCTCCTTTTTGAATTTCAGCCATCATAGCATCTCTTCCTTTAATCTACAAAAAAGACATTTCAGTAAACATTTCATAAGTAAATCTCTTACTGGTCCATATTCTTTGACATAGTAACGAGTATAATTCTGAACAGCAAAGCAGTTGTCTGGCCAACATGATCCACAACGATGGAATGGATTACATTCTGTCAAATATTTTATTTTTCTTATATCAGTTCATCCATTTGGCACCTCCATTAGTAGCGCGGTAGACGTTACATCCTTCCTCAACTAATCCTTGGGTTTTAGCATAACTCAAAACATCTCCAACTTCTCCTCCTTGGCAATTTCCTTTTCCATTACAGTCAATAATTTCCTTAAAAAGAATTTGTTTCTTCAGTTCCCTGCCTTTCATGTATCTTTCTCACCTGAGGTGAAACCATTGTCATTGGCCAGCGGTTTTTGCGAGCAATGTTGAAACGATCATTCAGTGCTCCTTAAAAAAGTTATTTTGCTTTGATTTGCAGTTGTAAAGAAAAAAAACCTGTGGTTCCGAAAACCCAGCATGATCCACAATAGACTGGGATATGTTGATTTCTGGTTGGACTACAGTAATTCACTCCACTAACATTTCTCCAATCAAACTCTTTGGGTAGGTCGTTGGGCTCAAAGTCTTCCTCTTCCCAAACACGGAGGGAATGACTGAAATGAAATATTTCTTCCAAAATCATTGCGAGAGCATTTACCGGCTTTCAAAGAGCTTTCCACTTTTCTTGAGACAAGTACGGTCTGGACGGCTTCCAGTCAAAATGGCTTCCTCCTCCTCATAATCTTCCTCCTGTGAATGGAATGGTCAAATTTCATATAAATTGAATAAACAAACAGAATAATCAGGATATCTAATTCGAATTGTATCTTTTCTAACAGGAGTGATCTTGAGTATCTGATCGTTATCATCGTAGACAATCTGATAAGATAAGAGTTTACCAGGGAAAGTTTTAAAATTGGAAGTTATGTGTTTTTAAAAATTCTCAGCACCTCCTCAGATTCTTCTCCTTCCTCTTCATAATCATTATCGACGACGACTTCATCAGAAGAGTCGTGCTCATCTTCTTGATTCTCATCTGTCATCTGGGCGAACTTGCTGAGCTTCTATAAACCTATCATTGAATCGATGTTTCAGTGAAACAACCTGTTACCTCGGCGTAATTTTCAAAGTTCTCCATATTAGGAGGTGCTAACTTGTGGAAGTTTGGGTCATATTCTTCAGAATCTTGCTCCTCGCTGTATGACTGAGAAAAATATTATTCTTTCCAATGTGTTTTTAATAAAATACTTCGTCGGCCAAAGGCTCGGGTTGAATGCGAATCATGTTTTCAGGATTTGCGAGACGTATGAAAGTCTTGTCATATTCACGGGAAGCAATGCTCGCATCATCCTAAGATATTTTGATAAAAAGATATAATTTGCAAAAACTCCATCAGACCTCTTCGATACTGGGCAACTCTTCAGATGACTCTGATTCAGAATTTTTCTCTAAGCGATCCATTTGGTCGTATAATCGTACCTTGAAGTGAAGTGTAAGAAATAAAATATGCCATATGAACAAACCTCTTCAATGAAAGCATCAGCTGGATCTACTGGCTCATTCTTTGTCATATCTGGGAGCTTATCGAACTTCAAGAACTTCTCGGAAGCTCTGATGACAAGGCTGGGAATTTTCAGCCATTGTGCCTGAAACAGCAGCAGAATGTTCAATCAATCCTCTGATTATCAGTTGAAAAATTAAAAAGGAAAAAAATGATTTTGTGATTTAAGATGGTGTGTTGACTAAGAAAAAAAATATTTTTTTTACCTGAGCTACTACGGCCAGAAAAAGCAAGCCAACACCTAATCGCACCATAGCTTGAAATGCGTTATCATCATTTTGTAGAGCAATTCATCTGATAAGGTAAGAAATAGAGAGACTGAGCATGGGAAGTGAATGAGAGAGAGAGAGGTAGAGAGGAATTGGTG